TGTTGCTTTTCCTAAATGCAGAGGAGGGTACCTGCAAGTTGGAAATTTTATGTTTTTAACATTTAAATATGTAGTCACAGAGAGGAAAGTAACAAGCTGGAAATTGCTAAAAAGGTTAATATAAAACTGCTGTAGTTTCTTTTTAAGGGAAAAAAGTGCCCCCCTTTAGGGTACTCTTTGTTTCCACCCTCTCAGCCCCTCTACAAACTCGTTTCTCTAGGGAAAATTGTGTCCAATGTTAATCTAAACACATCCCATGTCACTCCAAAGCAAAGTGTATTTCAAGAAAATTTACCAAACAGCACCCAGGAGAAGACCTAAGAACCATTTAACATGTTAAACCATTTTTTCTAATTCAATTTAAGAAGCCCATCAAAAAACACATAATCATCGGTTGGAATACCTGAGCATTTTAGATGTGCTTGGACAAATGAGTTTGGGTATTCTTGTTTAAAAATTATTAAAAAATAATATTAAAATATGGCAGCCAAAATACCCCCCTTGTACTTTTAAGGGTATCTTGTTTATTGTATTTTTATGATTTTTTTTTTTATGTTTTTTAAGGATGCACCACAACCCACTTCAAATTTTGATCACAATTAACAAAAAAAATAATTAGAAAAATGAAAAAAATTGAAAAAGCAAATACTAATCGAAAATTTTTGCATTCGACTTTTCAAGGAAAAAAAAAAGTTTGAGATGGCTGGTGGGAATCGTTTGAATAATCTCTTAAGATTTCATTTCTCATCCAAACAAACTCTTTTGCTCTGCCCCAAAACCTCTTAGAACCGTGAGCCAAAAAAAAAATTGACCGGGATCATTTTCATTTTACTTCATATCGCTCAAGAAAATACATAAGAAGATGATACTTTATGCCTATAGGTAAACATGCCGACATTTATTGATTGCTCATCAAATAAAAGGGTTACGACATAGTAGTTCTATCTTCCTTTTTATCCAACCGTCTATTTTTTAATGGAGGGTTCAGATTGCCCCAATCACAATGTCACATCTCTGCACTATTTTATTTTTAATTTTTTTCTATAAATTATTTTGACACCAAATTTTGGACGTTCATTCTTCGATTAAACTCGGACGTTCATTCTTCGATTAAACTCGCACTAACGAAAAATAAATAAAAAAATATTTTCAATAAAATAAAATGACCAAAATACCTTTGAAAGTTTAAAGGGGTATTTTGGTCATTATTTTTATCGAAAAATTGTTGTTAATATTTTTTATAGGTGTGCCCCAATGAGAAGATGGCACATATCAAAATTCATATTCAGAAAAATTGTATTAAAAAAATTAAAAATAAAATATTTTGAGACGTCGGATCTAAGATCAAACGGTGAGTGGCTCTCTTGATAAAAAATGGACGGCTGGATGATAGGGGGAGGATAGAACTTCTATGTTGGTGGAACGCTATCCCCAAATAAATAAATAAAAAATACCAAGTGGTCTTTATGAGCTATCTTTTGTGTGATATGATTTGTATCTCTACCATACTACTATAATAGGAAGGTTGTGAAATATGAACCATCATGCACGGTGACGAAGGAAGAATAATGATACAAAATTTATTTATTTGACTGTGCTGAAAACCGTTCTTTTCTTTCAAACGTCCACCAAGAAAATATACAATCATAATTGTGGCTATGGTTATATGACTTATGTAATACCAAGCAAATAACCAAATAATATTGTTATCCATATTTTCAATCTCGAGACTATCATTGCGTAGTTCTTGTGAGCCATTTACATAAGGTATCGGCCTTTGTAATGGCAATGTAACTACAATAATTTCTTTTTGTATTACTCAATATTTTGTGGGCTTAAATGGTTAGCAGTTTACTTTAGCAATCGACGGCAAATAAATTTTAGAATATCTTTTTATTAAAATCAATGGTATCAATAATGTCATCAAATAAAATGTTCGTTTAATTAAAAACAATTTAAAAAATATATTTGCAACAATTTAAATAAATTTATAAATTTAAAAAGTATTTTTTAATTGAGGTAAAATTAAAATTTTTATTAATATAAAATTTCAAAAATAATAATATGTCTTCCCTTTTGAGTAATTTTATTTTCAAAATTACGATAGAAATAACTACCCGCATTAATTTAATTGAGTAAAACTTATAGCTTTCATGCACTATGATTATTTGCAATTAATATCTAACAATATTATTAGAAATTAATTTGAAATAATAGTATTACCTACTTTTTAAATAAAAATACTAATTGTGTGCTTATTGCATTTGAATTTTAATTATCAGTACAGTGTGAATCACAATTGATTAAAGGGAAATTATCACAAATATACCTTAATTTTTGTCTATTTAGAAAAAAACAACCTCAGGTTTCATAAACCTCGTCCATACTCTTTTTCTTCAATTTTGAGCATTTTTTTTTTTACCAAAATTCTTCAATTTTGAGGTTTTGTTAATCAAAATAACATTCACGGTAGTCTTATTACCATGAAGCCAATTACGATACTTTAATTACTGTAAAAACTAATCCATTTACAGTACTTAATTTACTGTAAAAGCTAATCCATGTTATATGGCATTTTAAGTACCGTAAAAACTAACTCATGTTATACGACACTTACACTGTAAACCCTTCATTTTCTCTTGTTCATATTTATATCTTTCATCTCTCTAATTTTTTTAAAGTTTATCTGTTATTTCTCTCTCTAATTTTTTTTAATGTTTATCTCTTCTTGTTCATATTTATATATTTCATCTCTCTAATTTTTTTTAGGTTTATCTCTTATTTCTTCTCTAATTTTTTTAAATATTTATCTCTTCTTTCTCTCTCTAAATGTTCTCTCTCACTAACTCTTTTTCTCTCGCTAGTTACTTCATCAACTCAACAAGCACGATTCCGATGCGATACAAATCTGACTCCGTCTAATTTTTTTAGGGGATGGGATTGAATGGAGTTTTTATAGGGGATGGTAAGGTACACACAAACTATTATACAAATATCCTTGGAGAGAGAAAGAGAGTTAGAGAGAGAAAGAATAGATAAAAATAATTACAGAGAGAAATAAGAGATAAATATTCAAAAGAATTAGAAAGAAAAAAGAGACAGGCATAAAAAGAACTAGAGAGATGAAAGAGATAAGTATAAACATGATGCAAGAGATAAATATAAATAATAGAAAAGGGTTCACGATATTTCGATTGTATGTCATGGGTTAGTTTTTACTGTGCTTAAAATGCCGTATTACATGGGAAAGTTCTTACGGTATATGGTTAGTTTTACAGTACTTAAAATACCATAAAATATTGGGGTAATTTAAGTACTGTAATTGTGCTTCACAGTAATACGATTACTATTAATGTTGTTCTGGTGAAAAAAAATCAAAATTAAATAAAAAGGGTGTAGTCGAGATTTATGAAAGTTAAAAGGTTTTTTTTCTGAATAGACGAAAATTAATGTATATTTATGATAATTTCCCTCGATTAAAACATAAAAAAATATTTCCCAATTTTGTTAGTAAGGTGATATTATAAATTAATGGTTAACCTTTCAAAATTATATTGATTTTGATTTGTATTAAAAAAGGATTATGATAAAATAACTTAAAAAGTGTCTCGTATATTTTATTTTATGCAACCATGTACCCTTTAGTGTCTAAAAAAGTCTAAAAGTATTGAGCACTTTAATGGTCTACACCACAAGTGGTGTAACCTAACAAACCCTTTATGCATCCATGTACCCTTTAGGGTCTAAAAATATCTAAAAGTGTTGAGCACTTTAAGGGTCTACACCACAAATAGTGTAGCCTAACAAACCCTTTAGTGTTTTGTTATTTATTTTTCGTAAATAATTTCAAATCACCTAGGGTAAAAAACCAAAATAGTCCGGAACAATTAGTTCCAACCCGTTCATTACTTTAAATAAAAATGGTTTTAAACTAATAGTTCCGAAAAAGAATTAAAGTGGTTTGGGATTATTAGTTATGAACCACTCATTGTGAGAAATCAAAGCGATATGAAATTAATGGGCAATGATTTCATGCAACCGTTGTATAATAATATGATGCAACACCCTTAAAAAACCATCTTATGGTCATTTGTTTGATCCAAAATTTGAAATATACAGTCTTGTCATTCCAATGAACAATCACAAAAAAAGAAAAAATTGAAAACACAACCTAGAAAGTATTTTTTTAACCCAATTAACATAGGCCGTCGATTTTGGTGAGATGCTTAGATCTACGCCTTAGAAGGATTTTTTTATTTCCAATTTTTTTGGATAGCTTTATTATCATTAGATAAACAATGTTAAAAAAGAAAAAAATGATTTTGAGTTTATAAAGGCTAGGATCTTTAAATTCACAAAATTAATGGTCTAAATTTGTTTTTAGAGGGAACTCATTTTGACCATATCTAGGGTTCAAATTGAACTTTGTTTTTGGAAGATTGATTATTGACATGAAGAGTGTGGATGTACAGAAGTTGGGATCATACAAATACCGCAAACATGGTTTTTTAGAAGTGTCGTTGCATTATACTATGATACAACCTGTTGCATTGGATCATTGCTCGAATTTAATAGTCCTAAACTGCTCATTGTAATGAATTAAGGTATTCAATGTTTAATAGTTATAATGAGATATAATATATGATACAAATATTACATTTTAATATAAAAATAAATCTATAAAAATTATATGTTATTACATTACAAAAATACCTTCAATATTAATATAAAGTTAACTATTATCATTTGTACCTTAATATATAATAAGATGTTTATAACATATCAAATATATTTAGTACAAAATATTTATTAAAAATGTGCTCATAAAACAAAATTATTCTAATTGTGAAATCAATTTTCAAGAATTAAACTTTTATATATAAAAAAAAGTTAATATAAAGCCGAGGCTCTAAACAAACAA